AGCTATATCTAGCCAGCCTAACCTAGTATACCTACTTATCTAGTAGCTCTAGTAGGAGCTATAGAACCAGCACTCTAAGATCTAGTAGCTATAAGCTAACCTTTCTACTATATATACTAACGTACACCAGCTCTAAATCTAGACCTAATCTATAACTCGTACCTATCTCCCTAATCTACCCCACTTTAATAGAAAGCCTCTCTCCCTATATACCTAGCTCCCCTCTATTAGAGCGAAGCTAAGGTCTAATTAGCTTACTAGAGCTAACGCCTTTAACTACGTATAGGACTAGCTAAAATAGTCCTAGTAAGCCTCTATCTTACACCTCCACTAGTAATCCAAAGATACCTAGTCCTGGGATCTAGAAGATATCTTCTCCTTCTTCCAGCGTCTCTATTATAACTCTAGGGAGTAGTAGGAAGTAATCTAGCACTTCTCCCTAGTCCACTAGTATAAGGATGAGTCCCTTATCACTTACCTTACCTAATTTAAACGCCTTGCCTTTAAAGCTAAGGCGACCACCTGGCCTAATATAAGTTAGGTCACTACCCTACACTAAGGACTCCACCCAATACTCCACTAATTCCTAGAGGAGTTAAACGACTCCATATTTAGCCTATAGTACCCTAAGTACGTTAAGCTCATATAGAGCTATAACTATTACACTAGATAACCCTAGAACTAGCACCTAAAGCCAGCCCACCTAGAACTAATAGACGTTAATCCTACCCACGTCTACCTAGCTAGACCTAGTTCTACCTTATCTACTAGCTTATCTACTAGCCGCCGCGCACACCACCTTAAGAATAACCTCTATCTCTACTATAGAGTAGATAATTATTAGATTAGTAACTACTATATCTCCTAACGCACCCTATCTATACTAGAACCTACCCGTATAAAGTTAATAGCCTAGAGTACTATTCTCTCTACTTACCTTAGAAAGGGAGGGGATATATAATAGGCTAGGCCTATATACACACTACGTGATACCCATAGCTATTAGTTATATAATTCCGCCCTAGAACCTATAACTTCTACCCCTAAAGATCCCTA